ATAAAAATTGATAAAAAAAAGTCATAGTATAGTATGTCATAAAAAAAATTGATTAAAAAAAAGTCATAGTATAGAATGTCATAAAAAATGATAAAAAAAAGTCATAGTATAGTATGTCATACAAAAAATTGATTAAAAAAAAGTCATAGTATAGTATGTCATAAAAAAATTGATTAAAAAAAAGTCATAGTATAGTATGTCATAAAAAATGATAAAAAAAAGTCATAATGTAGTATGTCATAAAAATATCATAAAAAGTCATGGTATAGTATGTCATTAAAAAAAATCATTAAAAAGTCATAGTATAGTATGTCAATAAAAAATGTACAAAACTTAATAGTATAGTATGTCGTAAAAATATCATAAAAAGTCGTGGTATAGTATGTCATTAAAAAAAATCATTAAAAAGTCATAGTATAGTATGTCATAAAAAATGATAAAAAAAAGTCATAGTATAGTATGTCATTAAAAAAATCATTAAAAAGTAATATGTCATAAAGATATCATCAAAAAAGTCATAGTAAAGTTTGTCATGAAAAATGCAATAAAGCGTCGTAGTATATTTTGTCCAAAAATGTGTTATGAAAGTCATAGTAAAGTGGATCACAAAACTGTCACTGATTTGAAAAAAAGGTCAATTCGGTATGTAATAAAAATGTAAAAGTATAGTACGTTAGAAAATGTGATTAAAAAAGTCATAGTATAGAATTTTATAAAAACGTAATTAAAAAGTTTTTGTATAGTTTTAATAATGTGATAACAAGTCATAGTGTAGTATGTGATGAAAATGTGATGTAAAAAAAAAAGTCTAATGTAAAATGTGATGTAAAAAAAAGTCTAATGTAAAAAAAAAAGGTTATAGTATACTATGTCATAAAATGTGTTTAAAAAGTCCTGGTATAGTTATACTTTTTTTCAGGGCAGTTATTGTCTGACATTTTTAACATTGTAATATTGATGTGATTTTTGACCACGTGGTGACCGCTCACCTGGATCTCTGGGCCTGAGGAACTCTTCTTTGAGGGCCGGTAGCCATAGTACTCCTCCTGACGCTTCAGGAACTTACGGAAATGGTCCTGTAGCAGGAAGGTGGAGTAGAACTTCCCCACGGTCACCTCATCATCTGTAACCAGAGTCACAGTGCTGTCAGTGTTAGAAACTCTGATTATTCTGGAGAGTGAAATCTAACTATTTCTGTTTATGTTGATAGACTCACCTCCTATTGGGGGGATGACCTGGTCCAACAGTTTCATACTGGTGCGTTTCCAGATTGACTTTATAATGGCTCTCAGCTCCTCATTGGCCTGCTCAAAGTTACCTGTTCAGAACATAAAACATTTAATGGGACTACTGTGTGAACATCAAATTAAAGAAAACACATGTACAATTTTTGATGCTCTGTACCTTCTGTTTTGATCTTGAGTGCAGTTCTGACCAGAGCAAACAGGGTGGCATTGAAGGTGACGGTGCCATCACTGTTCAGAGGCATGTTCATGCCAACCAAACGCTGCAGACAGGAAGATGACAGAATTTGGGCACCAGAAAGAAACAGAAACACAATACACTTTTTTACGGTATTATTTTTTATTAATTTTACTTTTTGTAGTTTTATTAACCCCCCTTAATTCAACATATTTACTAACATCATGAGAAGTGCAAACATGAAACACTTTTTCAAGTTGCTACTACTCTACTAGCCCATTTTTAAATGGTCCATTATTCCGCTTTATCATTAATACTTCAAGATAATTCACTTTAACTTTTTTTTTTCTTTTACCAAAAAAAGTTATTTTAGCATACCGTTGACCTTGTAATTTTTGTTGGTAAATCTGACATTCACAAATTTAAATGAATGAAATCTAAAAATATTATAATATAACCTAATCTTTTCTAAAACATCCAAAAGTACACATGTTCAGCATTAATGGCTGATTTGGGATATTCAAAATGTCATGTCCTTCTTCCTGTGTATCGTGTCTTTGTATGTGACTATAGTACAATGTCCATCTACAGTGATTTCATTGCACAGTATCATTAAAGGGAAACTTTGCCTATTCAACCAGCTCTATGTCATCACAGTGTGTGCAGTGTGTGCAGATAATCAGTATTAAGCTTGCTCCTGTGTCACGAGCATCTGGAAATCTCCACCCACCTGCTGACAAAAGTCAGCTGAGTGATGTGAAACACTATTTCGTCCACCAGAAAATGAGTGGGGGAGTTTTGAGCGCTCACAGCATGGGGGAGAAGCCAAACATAGCTCATCTGCACATAGTGTGATAACACAGAGCTGGTTGAAAATCAGCAACGCTTCCTGTTAATGTTATAATTCATACATAAAACCCTTCTAACTGCCTGTCTGATGAGTTATGTTCTCCCACCACATGGCCTTTGACCCTGTTTATAACTGTACTGTATGTACCTTGCATGCAGCTCGATGAGGACAGAACTTGCCAAAGCCCAGTGGAGGCTGGATGCGTCGCAGCAGCGTCACCACGTCCAGATGTTTAATTCTCCCCCTGTTTGATCAGAGAAACACCTCATGTTCATGTTCAGAACCTGAATTTGATCTTGTTCTTGGGTTGACTGAGCATAAATAATTTAAGGGTAAGGTTTTGTGAGAGGTGTTCAGGCTTACGTGGCTTCAGGGTCATATTCAGCCCAGATCTTCTTAAACTCATCCAGATGGTGTGGACCAAGAAGAGACCAATCACGGGTCAAGTAGTCAAAGTTGTCCATGATGACAGCTACGAACAGGTTGAGGATCTGAAGTGGGAAGAAAAAAGAAACTTACTGAGACAGTTTAACATTTCAGCATAAAATAATTGCTGAAATACAGATACGAATGCAGTTAAAAGAATTGACTTTCTGCTGCTGCTCACCAGGAAGGCACAGAGACAGTAGAAGCTGAGGAAGTAGAAGACAGCGAAGTTGGACCCGCAGGTGTACTCCTCTCCTGGCAGGAAGTCAGACTTGGGGTCGCACTTCTTTCCATACATGGAAGCCATCATGACTTCCTGCCAAGCCTCTCCAGTAGCACACCTGAACACATATACAACAGTGAGATCTTGGCTCAGTTTTAACATTGCAACCAATGAGCTTTTAACCAATGATCCTGGTTTAGAAGACTCACCGGAATAACATCAGAACAGCCTGAGGGAATGTCTGGAAGTTGTTGTTGCGGTTGATTTGAGACCCATCCACTAGGGCTACCTTTCCAAAGATCTGAGGGGTTGTTACAATCCCAGTCAAAATTGGTACAAATACACTTAGGAATTTAATCAGACACATATTAACAATCTACAGAGGTTTACAATGTTTCCCAGAAAAAAAAACTTAAGAGTTGAGTACCTGCATCCCGATGACAGCGTAGATAAAGAAAAGCATCACGATGAGCAAAGCTACATGAGGGAGAGCCTGTGGACACAAACACTTAGGTCACTAAAAGCATGTTGAAGATGGAGATAAAAAATTGACAGTGATGATGACTACAGTGGGACAGACCTGGAAGGACTTGATGAAGGTCCACAGCAGGTTACGGATGCCCTCCGAACGGTTCAGCAGCTTGACTAGACGCATGACACGGAAGAGTCGGAAGAACGTGATGGAAACGGAGGCATTTTCAGAAGCCTACGAACAAAAAAAGTGGAGGATTTTAGGAGGAGAAAACATAAAGAAAAAAAAAACATTACTGGGTTTTAATTTTAGTCTAGGCTTACCGCAATCGCTTGCATAGGATTTGTCTCCTGCACAAAACAGATGAAGAGATGATAAACTGTAGTTCCATGAATTATGTTTCAGAGAGGTATATCATTAATACAAGGCCTATAGCAGACATAGCACGGACCTGTTAACATTCTTAAAAGGACAGTTCACCCCCAAATCAAAATATATATTTCTTCCTCTTACCTTTAGTGCTATTCATCAGTCTTAATTGTTTTGGTGTGAATTGCTGAGTGTTAGAGATATCAGCCGTAGACATGTCTGCCTTCTCTCCAATATAATGGAACTAGATTGCACTCAGCTTGAGGTGCTCAAAGTGCCGAATGTTTTTTTTTTTTAGAAAACTCAGCAGCAATGTCTCTTTCAAGAAACCATGACCCAGTTGCTCAAGGTAATCCACAGACGTTGTTGTGAGCAGTTTCATGCTCAACAGCCAACCGTATCATCGCGCAGAAGGAAGCGTGCATCTACTCATGGATGAGAGAGGTTGTGACAGCATGAGAAATAAACATTAATGGTGTCCTCTCTGGCTGAGCTGTAGCATTAGCTAGCTCAGTGGTGCTAGGTGAGCTAGCAGTAGATGCACGCTTCCTTCTGTGCAGTGATATGGTTGGTGGGTGTAGTCAGATGGAAAAAAAAAGTTCCTACATGAAACTGCTCACAACAAGGTCTGCGAATTATCTTGAGTTACCAGGTCGTGATTTCTGGAGAGAGACATTGCTGTTGAGTTTTTCAAATGTATTTTTTTGCCGCTTTACCACAAGCCGAGTGCCATCTAGTTCCATTATATTCAAAAGAAGGCAGATGTCTCTATGGCCAATACATCCAGCATTTGGCAACTCACACCAAAACAATCTATACTGATAAATAGCACTACAGGTAAGAGGAAAAACATGTATTTTTTTATTTTGCAGTGAACTGTCCCTTTAAAGGTATGATTTATAATCACAAATCATGGTTAATATTAGAGACAACGTTTCCACCTTTGATGTTACAAAGCTTCCAGGTCTTAGTTGCTAAAAATCAGAAGAACTGACATTTGTAACTCATGCAAAATAAACTATATACACACACTTTATTGTCAAGATATTAACAGGTTTCAGTGAGTCCAGCCACCATTAACACTTTCTGTGCCAATATGTTCAGCGTTGAGGCCGGTGTATAAACTATTAGAGCCATATTGGAACACAACAAACATATCAGGTCTTATCTTACATTTGCTCTGCAAGATAAGACAGACAATAGAAACACAGATATTTTATCAGCAGTTTGAGTCACAGACAGTTTAGTCCAGTAGTACTACAGTTTAGTAGAGAACATAGTGGAGTGCTCACACAGCAAGGCTCATGCAGCAGTGCAGTGCAGTGAAGATCAGATATTTACAGCACAGCCATGGAGACAGTACAGTCCTCCACTGGCGGCCAGGGCGGTCTGTGGAGGATAGACAGGTGAGGAGTGAGGTGTGTGGAGGACAGAGGGGTTGAGAGGGAAAATAAGCAAAAAAAGAAGAGAAGGAAATGGGGGGATAGGAGATAAAGAAGAAACAGGAGAAGATGTGAAATTGGATGGAGAAAACAGACACAAGCTTGTGTTTGTGAATGAAAAAGGTGAAAACAATCCAGTGCAATAGTGGAAAGAAAAAACAGTGACTGGGCAGAAAGAAACGCATAACCACATAAAAAAAACACTAAAATCCTTCACTGATAATGTGCTCTTTTTAACTTTAAGTGCTCAGACAACACACAAACATCAAATCACTGACAATACTGTAATGGATAATTGTGGGAATAATGGAAAATGTGGTGGTTTGATGATGGAAATGGGGATGGGGATGGGGATGCTTCTAAGGTTGCACAAGGCACTGAGATGTGGGGTAGAAATAGCCAACCACACTACTGACCACTTCCTGAGAGCTAGTTCTGCTGGCACCAATCAGCTGTTGGGCCACAATAATATGCTTTGGTGTCAGAGCAAATAAATACATTCAGTCATTAAAAACCAAATCACACTATTGACCAGGAACATCTCATTAAGACAACTCTAGGGACTTTCATATGCAGCACCTGCAGTATCTGAAATCTGTGGAATTCTTCAGAGTAGTTTAGAAAATAGAAGCTCTATCATTCATACTCACATCAACTTCACTCAGGATGACGTCAACAACGCTACCGACGACAATGATGAAGTCAAACACGTTCCAAGGGTCTCCAAAGTAGCCCTGCACAGACAGATAACAGCATTTTTGTCACAGTGGAACACTGAATTGGGTGGATAACCATTTGAACCACAAAGTGTGAAGTCGTTACCCTCGCTTTGAAGGCCATCAGCTTGAGAATCATCTCCACAGTGAAGAGCACGGTGAAGATCAAGTTCAGAGTGTCTGATAGTTTGGTCACATGGTCCGACTGGTTACAGTGCTGTTCAAAGTGGAAAACAAATAATCTCAGTTTGTTACACACTATTAATCTGATGTAATATTATTACAAAGTACAGTTTTACTGAAGATTATTACAGAAAACTTAAAGTCAGTGTTACCATTAGAGTAATACACTGGCCCATTAGTTTTTCGCTATATTACATTAAAGATATACTCTGCAGGATGATCCTTCAAAACAATGTATAGACACCTACAAAAGCAGTCCCTCTCAATCATCACTTATGATTCACTAGAAGTGTGTAGCAGTTTATTTATCTGCAGAGACTCTGCCTTATGCCTGTATTTTCTTATTTTCTTCTCAGTTCAGGACATTTATGGGCGTGTAGCCCCCAGCGTAAAACAGTGTGCAGGTGAAGTCGGGACTTTATAAAAAGGTAGCAATCAGGGAGTAGCAATAGGCATCCAAGAGGAAGCTATGAAAATTGTGGACAGAGCGCTGAAAAAATGCAATGACAGTGAAGTGAAAAGCCAAGTAGACAAAGTAGACAAAGATTCACTCCAAAACTAGAGTGAATCTGTGGTTAGCTTTTACTTTTGCTAGGGAGCACTGAAGAAGAGGATGAAGAGTGACATGGAGTTGGCCTGTTTTCTGTTGGACAGGTGGGTGCTTGCATTTACTAAAGTATCAGCTTTCCCATAACAACAAATGTACCCTTCCTACAATAGTAGCTTGCAGCATATGTACAAGCATTGTAGTGAGGATGGCCAAGTTTGAGGTTTTGTTTACAGACAGTAACCAACAATTGCTGCATAGTACACCTTTAAATATTTATGACTGAACAAGCAACATCAGAGATATAAATACATCTTTAGCAGAGCTGCAACGATTAGTAAAGTGAATACGTTTGGGCTGTGGACAAAACAAGACATTTGAGGATGTTATCTTTGGCTTCGGGAAACACTGGTCAACATTTTTCACCATTTCTTATTATTATATTATGGATCAAACAACTAATCGATTAGTTAATAACAAAAATTAACTTCAGATTAGCAGACAATCATTAGTTGCAGCTCTAATGTTTAGGCTCTTGTCAATGTTAACAGAGGATCCTCTATTATAGTTGCCTGTTGAGTGTGCAGTTCATAGTAATAGAGCTACTACCCCAAACAGTTGTGGTTATTTTTTTTTTAATCCAATTATGGGTTCATCTTCCTGTTGCCAGCACCTCCAGTTATAAAGTACATGCTGTAAATCTTTTTGGTGAGTACCATGTGTTCATAAAAAAAAAGAAATGATGGCAAAAAATAAGATGCAAGTGGTAATAAAACTGAATTAGCCTTTGATAATAAATCAGGTCTATAGTAAAACTTTATAAATCAGCCCTCCTCCTCTCCTCTCATTGTATTGTCTGGTCCTCTCTTCCCATAGTTACATAAACAATGTTATTGTCATTAAAATTTACAAGCAAAGTTGCTCTTAATTAACTGACGAAGAATATGTGGGGCACCCTGAATTAATGCGCTCCTAATCCCTGCAATATTAATTAGTCTGGAACTTCTCTGGACAGTTGTAATGTCCCATATTTTAAATCCAGTTTCAAAGTTTCCACTTTTCTCATTAATTAAATGCAGTAACAAACACTGAACTCTTCAGATTTTGACACCAAAATACTTAAAAAAGCATCTAGAGACACTGAACATTGACACTGAATATTGTGTATCAGCAGCCTCATTATAATATCAATGCTTTTAGTTTGCAACATGACCTTAATTTACATACCTGCATCCCCAGACACAAGGTGTTGAGCATAATCAGGAAGAACATGAGGTATTCAAAGTAGCAGGAGGTGACAATGTACCACACTCTGTACTGGTAGGGGTTTTTGGGGATGTAGCACCTCAGAGGTCGGGCCTTCAGGGCGTACTGCACACACTGGCGCTGAAGGGGAGGCAGAAGGTGGGTTAAAAGAAAAAATAATGAGACACTTGAGTAAAATGTTTAAGATTTTACAGGAAAAGATCTCATGTTTCTGTTTGATCTCTAAGGTGTTTCAGCGTACCTGGTTCTTGTCCAGCTCACAGTCCTTATACTCCTCCTCGCCCTGCTCCTGGAAAGTGACAATGACAAAGCCCACAAAGATGTTCATCATGAAGAAGGCAATGAGGATGATGTAGATGATGAAGAAGATGGACACATCCACGCGGTTATTGAAGACGGGGCCCTTGTCTTCTTGGTCTGAATCGATGGCTCTGTATAACAGCCTGGAAACAAACGGAGTGATGGTGAGAGATGAGGGGAAATTGGCAGGACACAGATCAAAGATAATCAATACCACAAGACTAATTTGTATGGATGAAATGTATGATTCAGTGAATTAAAAAAGGATTTATTGCTCCTACTACCATCTCTGGCTCCAGGAAATGGAATTACTTCCAACTCAATATCCATGTAATAAGATCTTCTGTCTTCTAACTCAATCAAACTGATAGGATCAGAAAAAGAAATTCATCAAATCAAAATTTATGCTGTGCTTACTTTGGCCAGCCCTCAAATGTGGAGACAGTGAAGAGAGCCAGCATGCCATAGAGCACATTGTCAAAGTTGAAGTCACTGTTGAGCCATTCTCTCTTAGCCAACACTTCGTCTTGGAGGGAATTCTCTATGTGCTTCACGAAGAATCCACTGAGAACAAACACAGACAACAGTCACTCAGATGTGGCATTACAGTTTTAATAGATTAAATCTACGACGTGTGAAAGGTGTTTATCTTACTGGCATTCCTCCTCTGTCATTTTTGACCCGTCTGTGCAGCTGTAGAATTTACCCTGGGAGGGAAAGGATTAGTGACACATTTAATATGTAAGCAGCAAAGCATTTATATTTACAGAAGATAAATCTGGATATATGAGCTTTACAGTGTCAATACCATCTTTTAAAAAGTTACCTTGAAGAGCTGCACTCCTATACAGGCAAACATGAAATTCAGCAGCATGGTGACCAGGACGATGTTGCCGATGGTTTTGATGGCCACAAACACACATTGGACCACATGCTGTCATTGAAGACAAACAAAGACCACTTAATACTGTTAATACATGTGCTGTACTTTAAGGCTCAATGTGTAGGATTTAAGGGGATATACTGGCAGAACTGGGATATAATATGATACAATAAGTATGTTTTTTTAAGTGCATAATCACCTGAAAACAAGAATCATGCCATTAACTTAGAGTGAGCATTTTTAATCTACATATGGATCGGTTCCTCATCTACAGAGATTGCCATGTTGCACCACCATGTTTCTACAGAAGCCCAGAATGGACAAACCAAACACTGGCTCTAGATAGGGCCATTCACATTTTCGCTGTAGTTAGCCGCCCCTCTGGGATGACTGCATCAGACAAACACTGATTTTTTTTTTTTTTTTTTTTTTTTTTTTTTTTTTTTTTTTTTTTTTTTTTTTTTTTTTTTTTTTTTTTTTTTTTTTTTTTTTTTTTTTTTTTTTTTTTTTTTTTTTTTTTTTTTTTTTTTTTTTTTTTTTTTTTTTTTTTTTTTTTTTTTTTTTTTTTTTTTTTTTTTTTTTTTTTTTTTTTTTTTTTTTTTTTTTTTTTTTTTTTTTTTTTTTTTTTTTTTTTTTTTTTTTTTTTTTTTTTTTTTTTTTTTTTTTTTTTTTTTTTTTTTTTTTTTTTTTTTTTTTTTTTTTTTTTTTTTTTTTTTTTTTTTTTTTTTTTTTTTTTTTTTTTTTTTTTTTTTTTTTTTTTTTTTTTTTTTTTTTTTTTTTTTTTTTTTTTTTTTTTTTTTTTTTTTTTTTTTTTTTTTTTTTTTTTTTAACCATGAAACTTCTTTATTCACTTTTCTTCCCGGGTTAAATCTGCGTGTCAGTTTGTTTTAAAAGCAAGAGACCTCTGTGGATAATTTGGCTCCTGGTAAAAAACTTCCTGAACATTAGGATGTTAAGTTATCAGAGAAAAAAATGAGCACACAATTGCAGGTGCTGGGCTAACGGCCATCTCTGACATGCTAAACAGCAATGGAGAAACACTGATTTGTAACTTAACTGCTTTATTCAGTGTTTTTACTGGTTTAAATCACCAGGTCCATTTGTTTTGGAGAGGAGGGGACCTCTGCAGATAATTTGGCTCCTGGTAAAAACCTGTCTAGATTAGATATCAGTTATTAGAGGAAAAAAGGTGAGGGCATAAAGCAGGTGCTGGGTGAACTGCCAGTCTGCAAGGTGCCAAACAGTGTAGCAGAAATACTGAATTATGACGTAAAACTGTTTTATTCTGTGTTTTTAATAGTTTTAATCACCTGGTCCCTTTGTTTTGGAGAGGAAGAGACATCTGCAGATAATTCGGCTTCCAGTTTCAGCTGGTTGCAATCACCAATCCTCTGTGACGCACCTCCAAATCTCTTTAAATCTTACACACTGCTCTTTTAAGCACTGTTGAACTTGTACTTTATTTTAGTATTTCCCTTTTAATCTACATTATGCCTGTGCTCCACTAAATACAGTTGAAGGAAATATTGTAATTTCCTTACTTTTAACACATAATTACTAGTAAGTTTTCAGGTAAAGAATTTACATAAAACATTAGATAATCTTACAAAATATAATGCATTGCTAAAGAGACCAGTGGTTTCCAAGCTTATTTCTTCATGAACATTTACAAAAAAGCAGTGTCCGGTATGATCCTGTCACGTTTCAAATGTCTGCCCCAGGACCAAAGAGGCCAAAGTGTGTAATGGTTCACAAAAATGACAAAGAGGGGCCCGACTCCTTGGTTTGGAACAAACTGCATCTAAAGTAGGTTAACTCACTGCACCTCAACAAGCTGCAACAGTAAAATGCTGCTTATACATTCATAGATCAGTATCAACCATATCATAATGTCATATACAGATATATGTGTCACAGAGGCCTTTTTCTGCAGGACATGTACTTTTACTTTTGATACTTCAAGTGCATTTTGCTGATAATACTTTTGTAGTTTTATTTAGGTAGGATGTGACTTTAAATGGAAGCTTTTTACTTGTAATGGACTTCAAAATTTTTTATAATGTTTTTAATGTTTTTAATGTCATAGGTGGAAGAAGTACTTCCACCTATGGAAACGCAGACACATCCACAGGGGGAATTACTGTATTGTGCATGTGTTGTACCTTTAAGCCCTTGGCTCTATTGATGGCCCTGAGAGGCCTCAGCACCCTCAACACCCTGAGAATCTTCACCACAGAGATAGCGCTGGATCTGCAGACAACACATAACAAAAAGCAGTCTTTATATGTGCATCCGGGGAATACTAAAATTTGTTTTAGGAAAAGAAAAATAATATAGGGATAGGGATAATAGGGATGTTCTATATCAAAATGTTTACTCACTCCATCCCCATAGAAAGCAGAGAGACGCCGACCACAATCAGATCCAGGATGTTGAAGGAGTTACGGCAGAAGGACCCCTCGTGCATGAACGCTCCATAAACTGTCATCTGTCAGTCACACACATCAGAGTCAAACCCAGAATACTGAACCAACCAGATTTGTGTTTAAGCTTCTTTTTTTTTATAAGGACAAACATGTTGCACTGGATGTTAATGTTAAAATTAGGTGATCATTAGAGAATTCATTTGCATCCAGTTTGATGATCATTAAAAATACACTATGCAGGATTTTCCTACAAAACAATGTACAGACTCATACAGAGATAATCCCTCTCAGTCGGCACTTATGACCCACTTATAGTGTGTTGTGTATTTATCTGCAGAGACTCTGCCCTCTGCCTGTATTTTCTTATTTCTTTACTATTTTCTGTGCTTACGACGTTCATGGCCGTGAATGCTCACAGCGCTCAGATGAGGCTCAGGCGCTCAGGGTTTATAAGGACATACTTTTAAGTTTTTTTAAGGCAAAAATGCCCCAAAAAGCTTCTAAAATGAGAACATGTTTTTGGTCTTCTAAAAGATAAAACCAAAAATCTTTGGGGTTTGAACTGTTGGTCAAATAAAACAAGGTATTTGAAGTCGACGCCTCGGACTCTACGAAATTGAAATGGGCTTTTTTTTTTTTTTTTGCTGAGACTATATGATTAGTTCATTAATCAAGAAATTTATTATAGAGAGATTAACTGAAAATGAAAAACACTGCTAGGTGCAACTCTAATGTTGCAAATGCTGTAAATTCATTTGTACCAGTACTGACACGCAGATCACTAAGTTTAATGTTAGAAATTCAGCAGGGCAGTAACGAGTATCATTGCAAATTAACTAGGTTTACAGTGGTTCTTTCAGGTTCAGAATGTTTCTCAGTGGAACAAGACGTGCAAAGAAACCAGCCTCATCCATATTGGACATTCTTCTTCCCCACATAAAACAATTTCATTATTATGAAGAAGGATTCTGGTGTCCTGTCTTACTCATAATACTGTTGAAGCAGCTTTTTTCTCTGCCAAGAAATACATTAGATAATGAGTACTTCCGTTTTCTGTAAAATCTGGCACAAAATAATCACATTTAAACACAATATGTCAGAAAAAAAGATAATCACCATTAGAACAAAACATTAATATCTATATAAAGAACCACATCGGTCAAATCCAAATAAGGCAGAACATGAAATACACGTACACATGTAGACATATACAGCACATTACCTTTAGTACGATCTCAATGGTGAACACTGATGTGAAGACAATGTCAGCATAAGCCAAAATCTGGAGGAAAAACACAAAGGTTTGTTATCAAGTTTGTCCTTCTTTTAAAAATGTCCAGTATGTAGTGGTAGACCTGATGGTCACCTGGTTTCTGTAGGACTTGGGATCAATGGGGTCCTCAGCTGCCAGGGAGATGGAGGAGAGCAGGATGAACAAAAGGATCAAGTTGGTGAAGGAAGAGGCGTTGATGATCTTGTAGCACAGTTTACGGAACCTTGATATCAAGAAATTTGAAAAGAGATGCAGTCATCACTGAGTGGAACACTGAAATATAACCACTCTGCTGTTCTCAGGTTGGTACCACTGGTTCCTACTTGTTCTGAGGGCCAAAAATGAAAAAGGAGCTGGCTACAGGCAACGGAACGGCCTCTTCCTTCAGCTGCAGGTCAGCCATCGGTCGGGGCCGAGGGCTAATGGGGATTTCGGGCTCGACCTCCTCGTCATCACCTATCACGTTGAAGGAAACAGACAGAAAAACAAAGCAAAGATCCAGCAAATTAAATTAAACTAATATTTTTGGAAAATAGGAAATCTCTCTATACTATATCATGTTATAGACTTTATATGGTAGTCACAGGAGTAGTGTGAAAAAAGCCTAACTATAGACTGATATAAACTTGGCTCAGTCTAATAATAATAACGAGGGGTTACTATACTTAAACTGTAACATAGCCAAGAAAGCAGTGCTGTTAAACAGCCAGTGTAATCAATATGAACTCCTGCGACGGGTGACCTCCTTTTGCCACAGCTACATCGCTGAGAAATGTGAGAAGCTTAAGAGTTAGAGATGCAAGAAAAGTAGAGGTTTAGAAATGTGTTACCTGGGAAGTCAGCAGGTGGGAATGGATCTTTCACTTCATTGACATTGGACTCAAACTCGTCAATTTTGAGCTGAAGAAAAAACAAACATATTTTATTGCCACTTCTGCTCCTGATTCATTGCCAAAATTCAATATGTGATACGATACCAGAAACAACGCTAACCTTGGCTGTGGTGGGCATGCCCTCCATCTTGGCTCTCTGCTCTGCCAGTTTCTTGGCCATCCTCTCCCTCTCCTCATCAGTCTTTTCAGGCATCTTGGACCTGGAGGGTAAGAAAGAAAGGGAATGGAGTGGAGTTTAGTGATGAGAAGACTGAGCAGATATTCTGGCTTAGGTAAGGTATTCTTTTATTCACCTTAAAAGCTTTCTCCTTAACTTCTCCTCCGCCTTTTCTTTCTGAGCCGAAGTCAGACTTTCAGCCTCTGCCAGGTTGTCGACAGCGATGGCCAAAAATACATTTAGAAGGATATCTGATTGTGCAGAGTTTAGGTTTTTTCCCGGTTTTAAATGCTGCATTGCAATAAAGTGATGAGATTTTCTGAACTAACCAGACTGTTCTAGCTGTCCTATTATTTGCCTTAATCATTAAATCCACATTACTGATGATAGTCAACCCTACAATATTATCACAATACCAATGTTGAGGTGTTAGGTCTAAAATATTGTGATCTTCTCCACATCGCCCAGCCTTACGTTCTGTGTACAATTTTTCGCCATGGGGGTGGGTCAGTTGGTACTTTGGTACAGACTGAAATATCTAAACACCTACTGGAGGTATTATCATGAAATTCTGGGAAAAGACATGTATGGTCCCCACAGAATGTATCCTGCTGATTTTGGTGATCCCCTGACTTTTTCTCTGGTGCCAATATCAGGACAACATTTTTACGTATCCAATAAAACTGGGTGGATTGGTAAATTTAGTCTAAAAATTCATGGGTGCCAGATAATTTACCAAATACATCCTGCAAAACTAATGGTATTCCCATCAGCCTCAGCTGTACATTGTATTTAGTACTAATTAGCAAATGCTAGCAAGGTAACATGCTAATATAAGCCAGCAGCAAGCCTACAGACACTTATTCTGCGTTCTGAAGCACAGACTTTTTCTTTTACCTTCAGTGCACACTGCAGATGCCCTTATAGGGTGTGTACTGTTGCATGGAGTATGCACACAATCGAACATACTACTGCATTATAACATTGCACCCTGAAATTTGACACTCTTTCTCATATCTATTTGTCACACTTCACAGTGCAGTTGCTACTTTACAATGTATGTAATTCTATCTTTTAAGTTATAACTGCAGACACTGCCGATTGTGATTGATTTACTGATTATACTCATTGCGGCTTCCGTCAGCTGTCAAGAAGCTGTCATCTGTTTGGGGCTCAGTCAATGTGACTGCGCAGAGGATTGTGGGTCAGAATAGCCAGAGAAGCATGCTGGCTTGCGTTCTGTAAAATGTGGCTGGATACAGTAGGACATCCTGGTATTTTAAGCATACTGCATTCAACATAGCCTGAATGCTAAGTCTTTTTCTGGCATACTAAATATCATGGTAGTTTGCGTATTGGAATACACCATTATTTCTAGTAACACATCAATGACACCGTGAGTGTGTGAAAAGGATACAGTTTCCACAGACAAACAGGATGATAAAGTAGATGGCGACCAGGATGCCAGGAAAGTCAGGCCCTCCATGTGCCATGATGCCATCGTACATTACGGTGGTCCATTCCTCTCCTGTTAGGATCTGAGAGACAGAGATTTGTTTATGTCAAGTATGAAAGGATGAAGGATATACTGCTACTGTGAATGCACTTAATCAAAACTATGGATCATCAGAATCAGGCAACAAAGGTTTAACATAATCAAAGCTGACACTGCTAAGAGCTAAAAGCAGAGCATCTGTGAATCAGTGTCCAGTCTTACCTGAAACACACTGATGAGGGCCTGAGGGAAGTTATCAAAGTTACTGCGTCTGGGTTTGTGGTCATCAAAGTTGAATTTCCCCCCAAACACCTGCATGCCCAGGAGTGAGAAAATGACGATGAAGAGGAAGAGAAGAAGGAGCAGGGAAGCGATGGAGCGTACAGAGTTGAGGAGAGAGGCCACGAGATTACTCAGAGAGGTCCAGTACCTGCAAAACAGTTGGAAGAAGAGAAGTGGTAAATACATTAAATCACACTACACCTAATTTAAAAGAATACATCACCCCTAAATGATCATTTTTACATCAATTACTCGTTACTAGCTTTGTGCATCCATCAGCTGGGTCTTAATGAGGATATAGACTTCACGTTTTTTTGTGATTTGACTCTGTTCTCTATAAGCTTGACCATTTTTCTCACTGCCTATGTGTAAAGACATGTGATTACATATATTTATATATTTTCTATGTAATCTCATCTCATGTTACTCTGTGTGTTTTCATTATTTTCTATTTATTTCATACATCATGTTATCTGGGTCATGTGCTGGCCTCCTATTGGTTCCAGCTACTATAAAAATGGGGTCATACCTTTGTTGTATGTTGTTAAAGCCCTGACAAAGACCTGCAGTGGTCAAAAATTTGTTGACTCTTTTAATGTATTAGACACTTCAATAAATGGTTTTTAATACTTTCTACCTCGTATTCTATATTTTTGGCGTGCCTGGATTGCCTTCCTTTGTATCTAGGTTCAGTTGCAGTTCACTTCCCTGTTGGAAAGTGCTGTCTGTTTGGGAACAACTGAGTATTTGACTGGATGAATAAGACTCGGATTACACTGCGCTAGTTGTGTGAGAATTTGTAGAATTTGAGATTTGATAAGGTTTTGCTGTTGCTAAACGTGGACCCCTATGACTTCAAACTATCAAGAATTTTCCCAGTTTTTGAATTCGGGATGACTTATTGATATACAAATGATCATTTGGGGGTGAAATATTTCTTTAATGCAACATGATCCTTTGAGGGGGCACGACTTACTTTGTAACTTTAAGGATCCTCAGCAGTCGGATACACCTGAGGACTGAAAAACCCAGGGGAGCCACAGCCCCTGCGGAGAACATGATCATCTCCAGGATACCGCACAGCACCACGAAGAAGTCAAAACGGTTAAACAGAGACATGAAATATGCTCGTGGACCCAGAGCATACATTTTCACAAACATCTCTATAACAAACAGCACCAGCAGAACACGACTGGCCACATCTGTTGAGATAAGAGAGGAGATTCAAGAATGGATGAAACTGGGAGCGAAAGAATTTATGTTAAAAAATATTCGCAATAAAAAAAAATTAAACACCAACCTTGTAGAGAAGTGAGCCACTCAGGCTGGTGGTGGTACTCTGTTGCTATGGTCAGGGTGTTGAGGAAGACGAGGAACATGACTAGCCAGTAAAAGCCCCTAGTTTTCACATACACCAGGCACTTCATCCTGAAGAAACGGTTCCAGCGACGGCCCAGGCGACTAAGCACAACAATAACCATGGCTTACTGTGCTGAGTTGGCGTGAATATTGCATGTGAACATTTACACATTTACAAAACTGCGGACTCACTAGTAGTACACGATTCGACTCTTGCCTTCCAGGTCATACAGGCTGTCTGTGTCAGAGTCTCCACTGGTTAAAGGCAGGAGTCCTGTCAAGAGAATAACAGTTGTAATGTAACAGTAACTCAACATGGGATGGGTGCTGAGGGAGTTTATAGAGCTGACCTTTGCCCTCTCGGTCGGCATCCAGGACTTCAGCGTGAGTGATCCACTCCATGTAGCCATGCAGGTCTTCATCCAGCTGCTGACGCTCTCGCAACTTCTGGAACTCTCCACGTGACCTGGCCTTCTCTCGCTCTTTGGTGAACTCTCTGAGGATGAAGACAAAGTAAAACATGTTGTTATAGTTTTGTTTGTTCACGTGAAAAGACATGATGACAGTTGAAAGGACAGCGGTTGTCTTACCCACTGAGCACGCCCAGAACCAGATTGAGCACAAAGAAGGAGCCAATTAGAATGAGGGGAACAAAGTAGAGCCAGGGCCATTCGTTTCCTATGGCATCGTTAACCTGAAAGAGAAATCTAAGTGAGCCGCAATGTATTCTGTTGGGTATACGATACACTTTACCAGTGGTGGACTGTAACTGTACTGTATACAAATTTGAGGTAGCTGTACCGTACTTCAGTCTTTTCTTTTCATGCCATTTTATACCTTTACTCCACTTTGTTTCAGAGGAACATATTGTACTTGTTACTTCACTACATCTATCTGACAGCTATAGTAACTTTACAAGTGAGGATTTTTTGCATAAAAACATAAAACATGTAAAACCTTTGTAAAACATGATTTGTTATAAGTTAAATTACCCAACAGTTTATACAAGTACAGTTGAAATGATTAGTTGATTAATCAATTAGCTGTTTGACAGAAAATCAGTCAGAAACTATTATGATAAACATTTCAAGTCCTTTCTCTGATTTATTTTTGGATAATTTTGAATTTTTTGGGTGTGTTTTTTTGGACTCCTGATACTTTACACAATAAATACCTCAAATGTAGACAATTGTAAAGGTTTTGGTAACAACACTGAAACTGAAAAACAATCAAGACGATGTTTAAGCAGTGACTGACCCAGTAGAGCACTTTGGTCCATCCCTCCATGGTGATGCACTGGTAGACTGTAAGCATGGCAAAGCCAATGTTGTCAAAGTGGGTGATGCCATTGTTGGGACCCACCCAGCCTGGCCGGCACTCAGAGCCATTGATCATGCAGCGGCGTCCGTTACCAGCCTGAGCACAGGGTGCAGGGTGCTCATTTTCTGCTGTGGCATAGATATCTGTGTGCCAAAGAGAAGCGATTCGTAAGTATCATTTTTTTAATGCAGCTTCAGGGAATTATAAGTGGTAATACATACAGATATGACTATAACTGACAGGATATATAAAAGTCTAAGTGAAACAGTGTCTGATTTTGCCCTTTATTCATACTTGTGGCAGTATAATAGCAGGTTTTATGCATTTTGCACTTGAAGAGCTCCAGCCCCATGATGGCATAGATGGTGACGAGTAGAAAGACCAGCAGGGCGATGTGCAGCAGAGGCAGCATGGCTTTGAGGATGGAGTTCATCACCACCTGCAGGCCTGAATGTGAACAGTGAAATCAAAACATTACAACGGCACAAAATGTCAGCGGTGTCTCCAGAAAGCCTTTTTCACATGAGCAGTATTTCCACATCAATCACACCATGTGACATGGACGCGGGATTTTTTTCTGCAGTATTTTTGGATGACAGAAGAGACTCTTACTGGGGACTCCAGAGACGAGACGTAAGGGCCGCAGCACTCTGAAGGCTCTCAGTGCCTTCATGTCAAACCCCCCACCCTTCTCCATCGGCACACCTGCTATCTTATTGATGGTATCCAAGGCAAAGGTGAAGAGACTGGAGGAAAAGATTTGATAACCATGAGTGCCTGCCTACAAAATGAGCGTTCAGCAGAACAATATTCCAGTTTTGATTATTTCAGCTGTCAATGGCAGTTACTTAGGTAGGTTAAAGCTGTGTCTTGATTTACTGGCAGAGATATCCACCTGCAGCTGAGAGCTCATCTTACCCCATGAAGACGATGACAAAGTCCAATATGTTCCAACAGTTCCGTAAATAGGCGCCTTCATGGAACACTAACCCATACGCCACTATCTTCAGAAAGCATTCTAACGTGAATATGATCAGGAAGATATACTCCAAACTCTCCTGCAGCAAGACAAACACAGACCAGGAAATTACATTCACAACATTCAGCTTCAATTCTCTTATAAAGTTATGGGACGGCTGGAGTAAATGACAACTGTGGCCTTTCGGCACCTGCTAGAGGGAATAGCAATAGATGTCGTTGGTGTTAGATGAACTCATTAGCTTTCATAGCCTCTTAGCTAATTTTGATGCAGATTAGACACAACCTCAGACGGTTTAAACAGATGGGTGGCCCATGAGTCACATTGTGATTAATGAAAACAAGCCACAATTTAACAAGCTCTGTCTGACAGTCTTACACGAAGCAAGCAACAGCAAAGCGCTAATTATTGTCAGACATTTTAAATGCTTAATTCAGAGGTGGTAAACGTAAACATCGGGGTGTTGGAATATATCATCTGCATGTCGGGCTGTATGTGTGTTTTTATCATCAGTGCTGATGTTTACAGAGACAAAGGAGGTCGACACATAGCAGACCGACGCAGCTGAGCCCGGTTTCCCTCAGCAGTGACTGCCACTGACAACAAACAAGTAGGATTAATATTTCTGCATCTTCAGTGTGGCCTTGTTACAAACAAAACACTCCACTGCACATATATGCAACAGTATGACAGAGCTCAGAGGGAATCGAGACTTGTCATGTCTCAAAATCAGAAAGTTCATTTGAGGTACGGCTCACTGTACATGATATATGATTTGATGTTCATCAGGCCAATAATTTCTGGATATACAATCCAGCAGCAGTCCCCAAGGCCCTATCAATTAGAGCCCCCAAGGCCAACCTTCCATATTTAACCAATAACACATACATAAACAGACTTCAACTCAAGAAATGTTATTCAAATTAAATGAAGACAGGCAACAAATACAACTGCACTTCTACGCCATCATGTTTTATAAGAATAGGAGTGTAAAATTGGTTACATGAGGCAACGTTAGTGGACTCTCCTGCGTCAGTGGGATGATGCTGCCTGGGCCGACCTACTTCTAACAGCGATAGGGGGGTGAAGCTGAACAGCTCTTCTTACATCGTTCACCTCTGAGGAATGGCACAGTAAGAAGTAAGAAGGATTTGGGAGGAGGCTGGTAAGTGGGCCAAAGCAAAGATGTTAAAGAAATGGGGTCAGTCTCAGGTCCAAATACCTCATGATTTTATCTGTTAATCAGTTGGGTACCAACAAGACTGATAGCTTTGACCCCCGTTTTTTGACTGAATGTTGGAAAGAGAGTAACGGCTGGCTATGGGTGCCTCATACTGATATGTGAGCAGGCCTCTCAGAAACAGCTATCCACAGATCAAGTCTCTAACATGGAGCCTCCTCAGTACCATAACACCATGTCAATACAACCTCAGATATCCAGACACCGGCGAGATGTGTGCACCGAGCAAGAGCAAACATATATTTTCCTCACTACACCACACATACACCCTCTGATCATCCCTGGGTTGCATTTGTTCAGTTGCCCACCTTTAATAAACTATCACAGCCGTGTAAACACAAACCTATGAGGTTGAAATATAATAACACCTGGAAACACTGCAGCAGAATCCAGTGGTCGTACACCTGCCACTAGATAGTTTACACTACCCAAACATGAGAGACTGATAAATCAGCTGCCATGAATCTAGAGTGAGAGTGTCATGAAACCTTTTTAGGTGGAATACATAACAACAATTTCCATAAGTATTCTCTGTTAAGCACAAAAAGCACCGCAAACTCATCCACTCAGATGTAATAAGCTCAGTTTTAAAGGGTTGTATATCTCAACTTAAGTACAAACACTTGTCCTCTCTAACAGCCAGTTTCTTATCAGAGGGGATAAACTAACCGCAGTTGGAGGATAAACTAATAGCACACTTGCTGACACGTTTCTCTGCAGACACAGATGGGACTCCAAATAAAGCACTGAGTTGTGTCTGAAAGCATTTAAATAAGGCCTGGCACTCAGATCAGTGACCAGCTGAAAGTCTTAGATATGACGCGTCTTATTTTGCTGGCTTAAAGCAGTGTGATTAATTTGTTAGACGCAGCTGCACAGTCATCCACTAGTCATGGATAAATAGTGGAATGCGCGAGTGAGATATTTTGTTTCTCTTCCATATCTAAAAAGCCAAAGCTCCTCGTAGAGTCCCGAGTCGGACATCAAAGAAAGGGTTTGTGTTCACACTCATACTCACCAAGCTTGTGTTGGTGTTATTACTGTCTTCTTCAGGCATGGGCAGGAACACAGCCAAGGCGACACAGTTTGCAAAGATGGTCAGTAGGATGATGATCTCAAAGGTTCTGGATGGGGAAACTCAGGATCATAACAACAATACTTGAGGGCTGGTAAACCCCCAATGATCCCCAGAAGGATTAGATAATATTTGAGTACAAATACTAACAATGAAAGCGTAGGAACCATTTTTAGAAATTAAGCTATCCATTTCTTTATTTGTGTGAGTTGTTTTGTGTGATTTAATGTCACAAATCAAACGGCTCTACACACTCTGCTAATATTTATCACCTCTAAATGCTGCCTGAAACATCATCCCTATAACAGCCCATTGGGTAGCCGGCGTAGCGGTCACAGTAAATGTAATCTTGTCCGCTGTGCTGCTTCATTCTCGTCCACAGGGGGCTCTCTGAGAGAATTCCCCTGCCAGGTCAGCATCATGTCTCCCTGTGATGCCGGGGGACAGCTGCACAGCCCAAGAATATGACCAAACCATTTAAACACAGGCCACTCATCAGGAAGAAAACTGTTTATTACATGAGACTACACTCAGATTTGTGAGCATTGATATACTGTTTTTTGAGAGTTCAACAAGATGGATTTAAAGGGGTTTGGTCTATTTCTGTAATTGTGTTCACCAAAGTGCCCATACCTTGTGTTACAGAATCACATACCAATGTGATTAAACTGTTGCAGTAAAACCCATGACATGGCTGAGCATATGTAGACAAAATTCAGTCAAACTGTTCATCATTATTTACACTACAAAGTTACAGAATACACACTCAACTCTGTTAGTCCTATTGTGTTAAAAGGTCACTGGACAGTATGATTAGTGGATTCTATTTTGGGTGTAAAATATGCATTATCCAGGAATGGATATCAGGCTAAAAGCAGGAAACCCCCTATAGGGCCCATAACATCACTCAGCAGCCCGCCTTGTGTTCACACAGCGCCAGCATGTCAGAGCAACTATTTCCACATTAAAAGCAGAATGTCAGCTATCAGGACGCAAAACAGGCAGCCTCATTAATTGTCCGCCAGATTTAATAGACAGACTTAAGAGGCTCTACAGGTGAAAATACGAAGGCTACAAACTTGACTTTGACACAGGCCTGCCAGATACATAACAAAAGTCTTAACACTTCAGGGATCGCCTTAACACAGATTTGAAAGAGACGTGGCTCGGGCGCGCTTACCACAGGTGAACTACATAGCTGATAATTCACTGGCCTTTAGTCTCTTAATTTCTATAGCTGTCAGTGTTCTTAACCACACCACCACATGCTGTTATACCTGTGTAACACCTTGACATCCACTTACATACAGTATGCTCAAGAGTAAAATGCTTTTGTTTACAAACACAAAAGTCTGAGTTGTGAATAATGTAGGCAGGTGTGTGTTTGAGCGTGTGTGTGTGTGTGTGTGTGTGTGTGTGTGTGTTATAAAGGATACTTCCACTCCACAATGCTGATGCAAGCCTTCCGGAAAGGATTTTTGAGGGTGAGGAGGAAGAGGGATCTGGCAGGTCGAGGGTTTCCCCCTGTGGCCTGCAGCTTCTTCAGCTTCTCCCTCTGCTTCCTCTTCAGCTCCTCTTCATTCATGATAACCGGCTTGGCGTCTGCGTTGGACGCCATCTTGATGCCTTCACCTGAGACAAGCTCCCAGTCCTGTAAAAATGTGTCTTCTCAAGGTATAATCCCAAACTCTGTGGCACTTTAAATCTCCCCGTTGCGAAGGCCCCTGGGTCCCAGACCTGCTGATCCTGTGTGCACTCCTCTGCCACCCGCTCTTCCCTCTTCTCCTCTCCCTCTGACTTTGTCCCCCTCACGCAGAGCCACAGGCCTCTCCTCCTGGCTGAGGGCCTCTGACAGAAAAAGCCCCCTCGGCAGGGAAAAATAACAGGAGCCCAGAGTGGCTGGAGGAGCAGTTGGCCCTGCTGTAGTTTAAATTTAGACTGTGAACCACTGACAGGCCATGCTTGGGGATGGTTAGGAGGATGGGGGGGGGGGGGGGGAAGGGGGAAGATGGGAGTAGACGGGATCAAGGGGGGTTGGGGCAGGGCAGCAGTGGCAGACGAGAGCACAAAGACTGGAAGAGACATAGTTTGGCGGGTCTTGCAGTAGTAGTATCATCACAAGGCCCCTGAACCTGCCTCTGTGTTCAAAACAAACTCAGCTACTCTGCCTCTCAACACTAGTGTTGACCACTATACTGTGAAAACATAGTGAGCAGGGAGGAAGGGGAAACACACATGGATGGTTCTGCTTCCAGTGTGACAGTGTGCAGGTGGAACTATGTCGTGTTGGACCAAGAAATGATTGAGACCACTTGAATCAATCCGTCTCAGAATCCAAAACTTTTATACACTGTGTTTACACGTGGGGCTCTATGTATAAATCCTTGTTCAAGAAATTCATGGCTGGCTGTTGTGCTTAGTTACAGAGATAGTATTATTTTGTATTTCTCATTAGTTTGTATTTTTACTTTGTTTTAAATTCAGTTTAGTTTCCGTTAGTTTGGATTTGCTCATTTTAGTTTAGTTTTATTGTTTGAAAATGTTGAGTTTTCATTGGTTTTAGCTATTTTTTTATTATAATAAGAGGGGTAATTGTCAGGGACAAGATTTAAGTCCAGAATAGGTATTACAATACAAACACATCACTTTGTGAGGGTAGTTGACTCAGAATTCTCTAAGACATCCCAGTCTCAATAAACATATGCACCAATGCCTACTCATGCTTATTGTGACCTAATTGACAAAATTAAAACCAAAGATATTTCCGGTATATTCTTATTTTATTTCAGATTTGTGAGTACACAAGTCGTTGAAGTTAGTTTTCATTTTTCCTCCATAAAGTCTAGTTTTTATTTTTATTTTGTTTAATAAAAATGTTTTATTCACACCTTGTTTTAATTTTTTGTTTTGTTTTAATAACTACAAGGAGAAAATAAAGAGGGCTCTTTATTGAGATAATCTGTAAATGTCTGGCAGTTTCTCCTGTGAGCAGTTCATTTGGGAGATTGGTTTTTATGTTTTGTTTTTTGGTAGTTTCTCATGTGAGCAGTTTATTTCAGATATTGTTTTTTTATGCTTTGTTTTTAATTTTTTTGTGTTTCTGTTGTGTATTTTCTTTGTCTAAGTTTTGTTCTGTACACGCAAGACCAGAAAATGGTTATTAAGTGACAGTTATAAATCCCATGTACATGGGCCACAAAAGGCACGACACTTCAATAAAAACAAATAAATGAATGAAATAATACAGAATTTGCCCTTGTAGGACTAGTTAGAATTGTTTACAAATACTGTACATTAATAAACACTTTCAATGTATTTTTGTCATATGTCTGTGCACATTATAAAACCATAAACCATTTATCACATGTTTATGTACTTAAATAGATGGTACTGAAGTGTTTTCAATGTGGGTCACAATATAGAAAATGCAATGTACTAATCAAGCTAATGTCCAGTGTTATGCAGTACTTCAAACCTAAATCTGGAACTTTAACACCTCATTTTATGAAAACATGTTAACAGCACTGCACGGCGATGCAGTGGTTAGCATTGTCACCTGACAGCAAGAGGGTTCCTGGTTCAAACCCAGGGTTTGTGTTTCGAAACCCAGGGTGAGGGAGCCCCTCTGTGCAGAGTTTGCATGTTCTCCCTGTGTCAGTGTGGGTTTTCTCTGGGTACTCCAGCTTCCTCCCACAGTCCAAAGACATGCAGGTTAATGGGTGACTCTAAACTGGCCGTAGGTGTGAATGTGAGTGTGAATGGTTGTCTGTTTCTATGTGTCAGCCCTGTGATAGTGTGGCGACCTGTCCAGGGTGTACCCTGCCTCTCGCCCAATGTCAGCTGGGGAAGGCTCCAGACCCCCTGCTACCCATAACAGGATAAGTGGTTACAGAATGGATAGAAAATGAACACAGAATTTGGTAACAGGATTCCAAATTATGCTTACATGATCACGACACAACTCAAAAATTGATAAATGCTAACATTAAACTGTCGCCCAGCCCTAAAGAAATTAGTTTGGATAGTGCTACATGTGATTTTGGAAATAAAGTAAGGATACAACAGCTTGTGCCTTTTCAAATTGACAGTGTAATTTTTTTATTATGACAGAGGTGAAATTGTTGAAAGATTTCCCAAAACTTGATCACACTGAGTGTGAGGATAAGTTCGATGACGAAGCAGTGTTTTACTACAGTACATGAATGCAAGCAGAGTGCACATATTGTGTACTCTGTCGCCCCCTATTGTCAGTCCACAAGAGCAGTGACTTCTGCAGCAACTATAAACACCCAAAACATCCACAAGAATAAAGAAAAAAATCTTATTTTGTATATTTTTAGTATTTTGTTTCTTTTATTTCACATCAAGCTGAATGAATGGACATGAGCAGGGAAAACTCCGGAGAGGCTGGCGATAAATATAAATACAAAACACTGATACCAGTGCTATAAAATAATACTTACATCAATCAATCAAAAACACTTCATTGATACAAAAAAACAACAAAGATGAGAACCAAAACCAGTAAAACTTCAACAGATCATATTGTGCATGAGGTAATGTGAGTCAGTATGCCGTCTTAAAATCTCCCCAACAGGGAGCTTCAGTAGGAGGCTGCGAGAGGGAATTCACTGACACATGATGATGCACATGAGGGCCCTTCAACGCCACAAGGCATCCTGATTCTGCCACACTTAAACGCATTATCAGCAGCTTTACTGATTCAGGACATTCTCCAGTGGCAGAGATCTGATTACACTAAGGATGGCTTTAAAGCTCTGTTAAATGCCCCGTTCTCCATTTCTCTCCTTGCATGGGGAAGTATGTAAAAACTCTAGTGCAAAATACAGGACAAAAAAAATGTGCCCTGGTGCCTGCTTTACTGAACAAATCTCTTTTCAATCAGGTTCCACTGGTAAATTCAAGATAAAAGATTCAATTTATAAAAACCTAACAGCTACTTGGTAGTTGATACACCTGCTAAAATGTATTCTGAGACCTTATCATCTGTTATGTTTTACAAACTGTGAATTTCTAACTTTTCAGAGCCACATTTTGCACTGGAATTTGCTGCAACACACCCAAACAAGGAGAGAAGACAGAAAAGGCACATACTGGGGCTATCTTAAAGGTACGAGTCTGACGAGTCAGACTAGTGAGGACTAGTCAGACTGATGCGTTGAGAACCGATGAAGCCGCTTGGATAAGAGGTGAAACATCTTCTAGACAAAATCAAAGTCCAGTTGCCTACGATTTAATTGTTGCCAGAACATTTTAAAGGCCCTATGCAAAATCTTGTTTTGTCTCCCAATTTCAAGCACTCATGAATACACAACAAATCTGAATCATATTCATATGCATTTGAGACCAAATGCTGCTTTTTACACATAAAACTATGTTTTAATTTAACTTTGCTGAATTGTAAACATCAAAATAAAAACAAAATCTGTTGTTGGCCCCCGTCAAAAAAGACACTTGTCCGCTAAATTGTGCTGGATCATGTCAGGTTGCCTGCTCTTTCAAAATATACTTTCCACCTAGAAAAAACTTTTCTGGGGGAAACCATGATGAATTGGAAATGAGACTCAACAATCGACTATCTTTCTCCAGAGTGACATACTGCACCTTAAAAATTACAAAGCCCAAAATGTACTCTATTAGTGCAAATGGCACTACATATGCCCAGGTTACTATGCACAGTCATGGGGAACAAATAAATAAGAGAAATAATTACCACATATAAAACATTATTACTGCTAAACTAGGAAATGTGTGATAGTTGACAGTAGCTCAGGTTGGGTACTCATTACCCAAATTGCTAAACTGACCATTCACATACACATAGCTTACCTGTTCTGAGGTAATTTCATAAATTATGCTACAAGGAAAACAGCTTAATAATGTACCAAATTGGAAGGAAGCTAAAGAAAAATAAATACAGAGAAGCTTAAAAGCTATTCACAGTCTGGCTTAATAGAGAAAAAGGTTTTTACTTTATTGAGACATTCAAAATCTGTTGCATTGCAAATTGCTGAAATGATTGAGATGATTTCTAGCCATTCACAGTGCCCAAACACGCAGTTTTTTCACAGCTGCAACATAGCCTAAAATGTTACATATAATATTCAAATAAAACGTCTGCTTGCGAGACAAATATGTTTAAATTTTTTTTAAGTGAAGAAATGCTTATTCAGAGGGTGCAGCAGTGCACAGCGGCGACAGAGGTTAGTAATAGTGCAGCTGGTGAGACAGTGTAAAAGCGCTGAGCCCGGGTAAGTTACCTTTTCTATATGTGCTCTGGGTTTAACTAAGCATCTTGTGGCGGTCAAAAACTGTCTTGCGCTGCTCCTGAACCTGCTTTTTCCAGCGCTGCTGTGCTCCCTCAACCCGCTCCAGCACGGTGTTTCCTCTGGCCTGGGCACTGTCCACCGTCGGACGCATCTCCTGAACATACACAAAAACAAAGAATAGATTAAACTGAGTACCTATTTGCACCCAGGTGAGAACAGTCACATTGCAGCTATTCAGCTATTTAAACCCATCACTACAATGAGTTTTTCAAATCCCACCACATGCTGTGATTGGCTGGTACTGGTCATGCCAAGCCATGGAGGTCAGAAGCTCATACTAGCCAATCTCTTGATATTCTCTGAGATTAAAGCAGTAAATATGCAAGAAAAACATTAAAAAAATGTACTGTCTGAAAGGTAGCTGAAGTCATATAACGAACGAGTGTCCACAGAGGGGGTAAGATGTGGTGAGTGAGTGGGTTAACAGACCTGCTTGTGTTAACATCATATTTCGATGTTGCTAGGACACCCTGGAATATATACACCACCATGTAAATAGCCACATTGGCTATTTACACACCGGGTGCACATGGCATTGTTGGCTACAGACACCTGGTGCTGATAGCGTCTGCCTAAATTAAATCAAGGACTTTAGATTCAACTGAAATTAAATAAAGGCACCTCCTGTATGTGTTTGGTCACACGTGTTACATGTTTGAATGGTTACCTCAGAGTCCTCCTCGTTGTGCAGAGGCTGGGTGTAGGTGTCATGTTTGCGAATTAGAGGATCAACCAGCAGCAGGAACAGCATGTAGAGCAGCAGTGCACCAACAACAGACAGGTAAATGATGATGGTTACCTGGGACAGGAGGAATGGAAAACAGTTAGAAATACTGAACTAACTTGAAGTTACCATTCTGGCATCAACACTACACAACACTGCTTCCTCCTCGTCTTCCACAGAATGTACAATAAAATCTTATCAGTACTGCCTACTAGAAACAATAGAGACAATTTCAGTTTTCGACATTAAAAATCCTTAAAATGTTGACAGTAAGTCAGTTTCTTCCCCCTTTTCTTTATAAATGATGTGTGCCAGTCGAAGCAGATGTGGGGCCTCTGTAGACACAGACACTATCGCACAATTCTCTCACAATTTATTAATCTCTTTATTTAGCAGACAAACTAAAGAAACTTCATGATGCTATAAATGACTCATGCTGTGTGCCATACAATAATCTCTGTTGTTTATACTTTGTTTGATTTGCACTCCTTCCTACTTTGTACTGCAACTGCTGCACAATTTCCCTCGGGATAAATGAAGTTCTGTCTTATCTTATCAGACACAACCTTGTAATCTTGGTTGGTGTTGTTGAAGACTAATGACTGAATAAAGCTATGTTGCCATTAAACAGAGTAAAGCCCAAAGAAAGCTGGTAGTACCTTGATGGTGTTGCTACTTCGTTCCTCGTACTTGCACTCACACAACAGGCAGTAAGCTTCCACATCATGGCCAGGCACCGGCATGGGCTCCACTACATGGAGGCAGTTACTGTAAAATACATCAAAGTGTCAGGATGGATGGGCACTTCTTAATCATGTTTCTGACTGAAAGTTTTAATAACAGGTTTCTCTTACCAGTCCTTCTGGGACACGTTTCTGTTATATATGTGGCCAGTGATGTTTCTGTATGGTGGGCAGATGCACTTGCAGCGAACATCCTCAAAGTTCTGTAATTGTGAGGAAAATTAGGTCAATATGGACCCAGACCTTTTTTTTTTTTGTTAAGTGGACCCAAACTTTGCCACCTGCTTACTTAAATGTTGCAGCTCACCTATCTGTTTTCCTCATAACTTGAGCCCTATCTTTTCATATTTATACAGGAAAGGAATTAAAAGTAACATCATGTGTTACAGTTAAAACTGGTCTGACTCAGTTATAAACTGGTTTTCAGCAGGTTTTCTGATATGCAACAAAAACACATTATAATACAGAATGAAAACAGGAACAATCATCCGAGTTAAAACAATAGAACGTAGGCAGCTACATAGACAATGCAGAGTAGAGGACTGAAGTGCAGTGAGTTAAACGGGATATGGGATTTAAATCAGTGGTTGCAGATACGTCCTTCCATCACATAGTGCTTATATGCATGTTTGAAATGTGTAATAGAGGTTACGGCTCTAATGTAGAGTGGGATCTCGTTCCAGATCTTAGTGTACGTGTGACAAAATGATCTCTGACCATAATTGTTTTTGTGAGGTGGTACAGAAATAAGTGCATACAAAATTGATCTAGTGATGTGTTGCAACTTGGAGGTAGAGCAGTAAGTGCAGGATTGGAGTCTGTGGAGTTAACAAAACTGAACTGTACAAAAAAATTCTTAAGTGACACTGTTTACATTAGAGACATTAGAATAAAGAAGCACCTGACTAAAGTCAAATAGATACTCATTAAGATGTTTTACAGGTTTTATCCAAACAGTCGTTATGTACAGAAAGACTGTAAATTTTACTTTTTGAAGGGAAACACAGGTACATTTGTTTCAGTCTTGCCTGTACCCAACACTGTGAAAACTCATAATGTATTGCAGATAATAAGATCCTTTTTATTTGGGAAAAAAGTATAGTTTGGATACACTACAAATTCTTGCTCTCAGTTTATTCATTTTGAGATTAATTCATTTACTCTGACCAAATTTCACCTTTATAAAAAAGATTTACAAGCCGGAAACAAAACTTTTGAAGTTGGTTATCAATGTCAAACAATACATTTAATCTATAGCCAAATGCACATACAAAAGAAGCTGCTAAAATGTTTAATAACTGTAAGCTTTACAAGGTTTTCACTTTATGTATGTGTACGGTACATTTGATGTATATTGGTGGCGTCTTGCTATATCTGTCTCAGTTAAGTTTAATGGGAAAAAAGACAGGAGAAGCACACACACAGAATGTTGCTGAAGATCTTTACATAAACAAAATAATAAATTATAAGATTAAATGCATTACATAATGACAAAACGTTTTCTTCCACTCTATCAATATTGACATTGCAGATAAACTGTAAATGTATGTTACTTTGTACCTGTTCAACAAAGGGATTTAGTTTAAGGAAAAATGAGTAACATGCCTGACCAAACATAATATTTTTTTCTACAGCCAAAAAGAAAAGAGGACATGTTAGTCACCAGACAGTTTATGACTGTCACTAATGAGAGTTTCTGCAGGTCATGTATGAAGCTGCATGTCTTACCTTCGCCTGTGCAATAACAACAGCATCCAGCAGAATCAAGGTCACCAGTGCGGGTGCAACAAAGGTCCAGGATCTTTCCCTGGCAGACGACATCCTGCCCTACAGGTGCAGAATCACCAGCAGCGGTCTGTCAAAACACACATACGGCGTTAGCAGTTAGCTAGCTAACGTTGGCTAGCAAGAAAAACAGGTAGTTATATAAAGCACTTTACTGCGGTGAAACTGCGGCTAAAATCAGGCTTAAGATGAAACTAAACCAAGAATAGAATTAACTTACGTTGTTATAGAAGCTGGAGTGCCTGTTGTTGCTATGCATTCAGGATGTACCTATTCATTAGCAGGCTGTAATCAGAGGAAAAAGCACCCACATAAATGTTGGGCTTCTTTATTCCGGGTTGACGTCACGTGACAACGGGCGAGGCAAGATGATGCATGTAGCGACACTGCCACCTACTGGACACAAATATAGACACACACACACACACACACACACACACAAGATCTATCAGGACCTCCATTTCTACTTTAGATATTGTGGTTTTTTTACTCTTAGTTATGTCAAAGCTTTCTTAAAATCTTCCGTACAGACTAATAGTTTACATTAAATACATGATCATTTCATAAAATATGATGCATTATTATTTACAGAGGCGTAGGAGTGGGGGAAGAGTGGACTTGAACTACTCAGGGCCCGGCATGAGTAGGCAGTGTTAGGGAGTAACTAGTAATGTGTAATTAAATTACAAAATAAATGTAATTGTAATCAGTTACAGACCAGGTCTCCCTGGAAGAATAGATCCAATCAATCAATATGTTGGTGATTACAAAAGGGTTGCATCTAAATATATTCCTTTTGATAGAAAGCTTATATGTAGAATATAATCATTCATTCTGTTGCTTTGCATTTTTCCACTGTGCAGGAAGCTTTCTTTTGTCTGGAGATTTGTATTTTATTTTTTTATTTATTTTATTTTATTTATTTATTCGAACAGGTTAAAAAAACAAACAAACAATAAAACAAAAAATAAAATATATAAAATGTTTAGGCAAAAAACAAATTGAAGAGACAACTCTACAACAACATAAATAACCATTCCATGTTCGAAGGGTGTAGGATGAAGTTAATAAAAACTTATCTAGTCCTACCCCTTTTTTTGTTTTCAGCGTTTGTTGCCCAGTTTCAAACATTTATTAGAAAAGCAATAAAAAAGTAATCAAATGTAATGTAAGTTGCATTTTTTTCATAAAGTAATTAAAATAGTTACATTACATATTACCCTTTAACAGGGTGACTAGTAATCTGTAACCAGTACATTTCAAAAGTAACTTTCCCAACTTTGTTAGAAGGCCTCTAAAGGTATGCAATAATTATTTTTATTTTTATTTATCTGCAATTATCATTGTGCATAATTAGCTTTTCAAGAACCGTTGGGTCAAATAAATACTTTGACAGACTACTTTGTTTTCCTAAACAACATTAAAGCTGAGAAAATGTTTAAAAATGTAGACTGAGTAATAATTTAATACTACTCCCTGCCTTTATTAAAACATCTTAATTAGTTTTAGAGGGATAGCAGGGTCAATCCTGTTCTCAGTTTTAATACAGGGGCGAGCCTTTCTCTAAATATATGCGCTTATAAGTTCCTAAAGTTGCATTTTGCTACTTTTTTGTTGCAACAGAGCAGGTGAGCTCCTGTTGGAAACTAATTTGACTTGATTCTCTGAATAAAACAAGATTTCACTAAAGTCTGTCAGTGTTTTATTATGAAATACAATAATTCCTTTGTATGTGTAGGGGCCAGAATAACATGGCTTTACTGGTTTTCTCATTCACACACAGAAGCACAAAGCAGGATAGTATAATGTTTAGTAAAATTATCACTCACATTGATGACAACATAACATTAATACTCTGTATTTATAAACACATGCATGACCAGGGAATTCGTGACTCATCAGAATATTTTCCCATATCTTTCAGTCAACACTGTTTTTATGTCAAATCCTGTCTCCCTGGTGGAATTTGTAACGTAAGCCCCAGCTTCTTGACCCAATCAATACCTCTATTTCCTGGTAATCCTGCTTTCACATCTCTCTGTATAGTAAGATACTCATACCTTTAATAAGCCATAGAAATCAATGGCTCACAAATTCAGCCTGAACCACTTGAGCTTGTGGTCACAGAGATCAATTGAGACCATGGTTATTTCTCTAATGAGCGATGATATCAGTGTGAACAGCACAACCCCATCCTCTGTGTAACCTCAATCATGCATGTGACCTTTGATTCAACCATTTAAAAACAACCGCAATGCTGCCAACAGCTTGTTTACTGTGTTTACAATGAGGGTAGTGGGATTTTAAGTTTACAAAGGCTGTGAACAGATTCAGGTAGACACAATGTTTGTAGGTGGAAACAAACTGTTACTGAAACACTGCTGGGTAAATTGGGCTATTTGTATGAGTAGACAGCGGCATAAATGAGTGAGTGTGACTGATGGGAGATGACGAAAGAAGCCGCTCATGTGAATTACAAACACAGGCAGGCTTTGGCCAAAGTATATGCAACATTTATAGCAGAAAACAAGGTTTGAATCAGTGTGAACCTTGAAAGAAAACGTCAATATTGGAATGTTTAGAGACGTCCTTAGCGGTTTACTGTAAAGGAAATAAAAGGTCTATTTGTGCCAAGCTCAGATGAGGGATTTTGCTGTCTGGAAACCAGGTATTTGAATTGCAAACAGCATGGGCTCTGCCATATGTGCAGCTATTAAAAAATAAAATCCCCATGGAAATAGATGCATTTTTTGTTTCATATTAAGAGTAATCAGTTATTTAGAAAAAACTTAACAAGCACCTTGTTTGTGCAAAAGCCTTGAGATAAATGCCATAAAAATAACATGGTTACTGTTCTTTCATTCAATAACGATACATGCATTTATTCATCGGTGTGATCATCATTGTCTTTTAGTAGCCATAAAGCATGTTGTATCATAAACCAGCTCATAAGCTCTCATCACTTTCTGACTTATGCGAGCCCTCTTCTTGTATTTCGCTCTCTCAGTCCTGTCATTGTAAGCCACTTAGTTCTCTGTCTTCTCTGATGCATGGCTGCCCTTTACACCCGTAGGCCAATTACAGCATAAATGACAGTGGCCAGAGCTCAATGCCAGGTCTCATTATCGGTTCAGAGCTCTCATGAAGAAGAAAAAGGTGATTCATTTTCTTTTTAGGTGCACATAACAAATATCATTCATTTGAGAAAAGAAAAGAAATCTAGTTACCTTATGTAAAATAGTTTATTAGTGCTAAACAGAACTGTAATTGATGCAGACGGATACAAATGCTTTGACAAAGTCTGTGGGCAGTGGACTGCGCACACAGCCTGACTATAAAACAGCAAAAAGAAAAATGATCCATAATGGAAACACTGCAGAGGAATCCACCTTATAAACAAGCTCAGAAGATGTCAAGTTCTCTTATTTGTCAAGGTACCTGAAGTTATTGACTGAATCACATTATTCAAAGCATTAATTTTCATGGGACTGTAAACAGCGGGCAGTTTGCCCACTAGGAGATGCTGTAAGGCTCAAGGCAAAGCAAACTGAATCCAGACCAGCTGACTTGAGTTAAAGCAGACTTTGAAATGGTCTGGAGGGATGCAGATAAGATGTAGGAGGACATGTAATGTAAAACAAGATTGAATATGTTGTGGAATCCAAAAGTGAAAAGCACATAAAAAGGACATCTTTAAAATGATTAGCTAAACTGCATTAATGGCAGGTCTGTAGCCTTACAGAATATAAAGCAGCTGAACAGCTATTAGTATGGATGATTGTGGATACTGAAGCTAAATTGTATGTTGTTTGCAGCATCTAAATAAAGTCATACATGTCCCCTCTGTGTCTGTCCTCATTCGCCCACTTCCAATACATGCCTCAACCTTTCAGCATTGTTCTTTTTGACCTTTATCACATCATCTGCAGTGTCTTTTTGCTCTCCACCCTTCCTCTGTATCATGCTTTTGTAGAGAACACTGTTTGAATAACAAGACTATCTCTGGTAAGTGTTAACTCTCCTCTCCTCTCAGCTGAGGTGATGCATTGTGGGCAGCAGGACTATTCTAATAGACACATGTGGTAATTACAGTAGTGGGAGGCAGCAGACAGTGGTGGTCCAGGGACAGCACAGAACTATAAATCACAACTCCTGGTTCCGCCTTCCTGAGCGTAGCCGATCACGCTCAACCAAAAAAGCAATTCTGCCAACATGTGTTTGCACATTTGTCTTCATCAGCTGCTGGCTTGTTCTGGGCCCCTGCGACTGAATTTTCCTTCCCGTGGTAATCAAACACAGACTACCTCTCAAGTGTTTGAGTCAAAAGTCCACTATATTTGGCTCAACAATTAGCCACACTTGAGATGTAGCGAGGATAATTATTCTACATAAGCGAAAAGCAGCAACATAAGTGGGTGAAGAGGGAATTTTGTGTTTACTTTGAACATTATGGTGAAGTTAAAAAAAAAAATCATAAAAGACATTACCTGTGCAACCTTGACTGCAGGTTTTTTTAAGGGTAGCGTGACATGCTTCCAGGAGAGGTGCCTAAATCAAAGAGGTGGCAATAGCAGAGGTGTTGGAAAAGTAGGCAGTGATGGTGATTCAGAATACAGTGTGTGTCCTCTCCTGCTTTATCCGTACAGACAGCTGCCTGTCAGCCAGCTGAGTCCATGCAGGGAAGAGGTGTCTGCTGAGGAGCTGGTGTCAGCAAGGTGAGAGCAGAGCCCAGCTACGCTGAGCTGAGCTGAAATGGATGCAGAGGAGAGAGTGTCTCCTGCCTCTGAGGGACACAGATTTTCAGCAAGGAAACAGACTGCTGGAGCAGGAGAGTCAGCCAGACAGAACATGAAAGCCAAGAGCGGCCATGACACATGATGGACACAAACGCAGGGAGAGAAGCTGCCTCCCCCCCCCCCCCGCTCGCTATTCCTCTCCTTCAGCAGCGCTGCGCAGACACAAGACCCCTGAAGAAGAGGGGAAAAGGGAAAGGAGAGATAATGCCTGAATCACAGTGGCTCCCAGTTGAACCCTCGCCCCCTGTAATGTATGGTCTTTGATGTTGCCCGAGATGTTTAGAGAGATGCAGGGAAGCTTCAAAGAGAGCTATAGGCCAATCATAGAATTGTGGCATGTTGGTAGGGGAAAAAAAAAACCCAGCAAGCTGCCAGAAATCCACATGCATCCTTCAAGAGAGACCAGGGGTCAGGCAAGAAGACAGCTGAAAACAATAGCGAGAAATGAAAGGTGACATGAATTGAAAGGTAGATAAATAGCTGCTGGGGAGGAAGGAAGTTTGTTGTTGGTATAAAAGGATGCGATGTAGGCTTTGGTCTTGGAA